ACCAATCCCCACAGTTGGACATGACTGGACTTAATGTCAGGAGAAAACTTTTACCTTTATTGTATTTGTAGCAGTTTGCTATAACAAGCAAAACATCCAGGAAAAATAGATTTGGCAATCTATAATATATATGTTATATATCAGATGAATTATCATCACAGGAATGATCATCACAGGAGCCCCCGGTGGCGCAGTGGGTTAAACCCCTGTGCCGGCAGGACTGAAGACAGACAGGTCGCAGGTTCAAATCAGGGGAGAAGCGGATGAGCTCCCTCTATCAGCTCCAGCTCCTCATACGGAGACATGAGAGAAGCCTCCCACAAGGATGATAAAAACATCAAATTATCCGGGCGTCCCCTGGGCAACGTCCTTGCAGATGGCCAATTTTCTCACACCAGAAGCGACAGTCGCTCCTGACACAAAAAAAAACCCAAAACACAGGAATATAAACCTTTTTTTAAGTCACTAAATGCAGTGTTGCTAAAGCAAAACAGCTCTGTTGTCTGGGTGTATCTTTCAGGGGAACTTATATGAACTTATATGTAGGAACTTGACAAATGCCATCTTGAGCTTCCTGGATGAAATTTGTTATATAAGTGTCATAAATGAAAAGCTTCATCCTTTTCACATTTCCCCAGTATCTGCACCATATATATGCATGGTCCCTGTTCTTTTTTTTAATGATCATGGGTTTTTTAAGCATTTATGTTCATAGGCTACATTTTCCCATTCTGTATTTTTTCCTTTACCTATCCCCCTGCAGTGATCTCAGAACTATTATGTTATTTTCCTGCTGCTCAGAAAAAGAGAGTTCTTAACAAATTGCAATAACTGAATGAGTGGCTATTATATGCCCTGGCTATTAAAGGATTCTGATTGAAGCCTGTTGAGAATGACTCATCTTTTCCAGTTACCTAAAGACTTCACAGGCAGCCTCCAGAAGAATCTCTGGGTGACTCAGAAGTTTTTATCCCACAATTTAGAGATGAAATAAAGTGGCAAATGTGGAAAGGCTGGGTGACGTTCACACAGTATCCAGCCTAGAATGGGCGAGCTACACAAAGCATGGCGTCTAGAATGAAAGCCATATCTTTTTAGCAGACAAATCTAATAATTGATACAGTGGTGTCACAGGGCTTTAAACGAACTCAAGGCTGTGCGGAGAGGAAATGGAGCTTTAATCCTCAGTTCACTAGGCTCTGTACTGGGCAAAATTGAAAGAGAACACTCTATTCAGTGAAATGTGCCTTTGTGGCAAACCAGGGAAAATATTAGACAATCATTGTATCAAATATAATTAATTCTGCAAAATGTATGAATTCTCGGCAGAACTTCTCTGCCTTTTCCCATTCCTAGCAATAAAAATGCAGTTGTGATAAGTTAAATAACTTACAATTGGATGCCCTCAAATGACACATACAGAATGTGCTGCTTCACTTTACATATAAGTAAAACTGATCCTGACTTAGTGTTTTCTCCAATTGATATCTTAAACCCCATCTACAGTGCCACATAATCCAGTTTCTGATCCCAGATTATCTGCTTTGAACCGGATTATATGGCAATGTACTCTCATATAATTCAGTTCAAAGCAAGCAATTTGGGATCAGAAACTGGATTATATGGCAGTGTAGATCCAGCCTTAGATATCATTTTACTGTATGCTACCATGTCCCTTGTTTTGTGCCATTTCTGAAATGTTGAAGAGAGTACAAGATAGCTTGCAAAGCAGCAGCAAAAGATACCATATTGTTAGAATCAAATGCCATTTTAATGTACTAGAATCAAAATAGTATTCAAAAGATAGCACCCTCAACCGGCAGCTCCCCTGAATGATCAAAAATGAGCCATCAACAGTCAATCACTGCCTTTAGTTAATGCAGATTTTCTACTTCAGTTGTTTAAATGTTTCTACCCCAGGCCTAAAACTGTAACCCAGATATTTCTCAAAATATAAAATGGAATTTTATACATCTTGGAACAGACTAGAAAAGTATTGAAAGCCATACAGAAGGACCAAACTACCTGTGATGCTGCATGCTTTGTTAGATACTATGAACCTCATCACATGGAGGTCCAGAAGCCTGGGGACAGCGGGGAAAACTGTGGGGCAGTGCCCAGATTCATCCCCCTACCATTGTGGGTCACGGGCTTTCATCCCATGTTTCCATGCTGTCTCCCGCTTCTTCAGTGAGGAAATGGGTAGTCCCTAATTCCCCAGGGCTCCCTCTTATCGCGTTACCAGCATGCTGCCAGCATGGAGCCCAACGGAGCCCCGCTAGAAGTAGTTCTATGTTATTTGATGGGCTCCAGCAGACTCTGTCCCATTTGATGAGGTGCTACATCAGTAATATTAGGAACTGAGAGATTTTAAATGGGACTGCTGTCATACACCAGCGCAAGAATGGCTCTGACCTTAAACACCACACCAGCTTGGTAAAATCAGCAAGCAGTTTATTGAAGAATATGTGTAGGCAAAGCAGTAAAATTTGTAAAAACTAAAGTTCTCAAAACAAAGAGTAGTTCATGAGCTTCAAGGCAAAATAAGATCCATAGGAACAACAATCCATGAGACAAGGAAGCATGAAAAATCCAATACACAAAACAGGAGCTTGGCAAAAAAAAACTTGGTTCGTGGAACTAAGAACACTTGAAAGCAAGACCGTCATGAATTTCCAACATTGACCAAGCTGAGGCAACTCTTTCCCATGAATCAATATAAGGCTTTTCCAGATTCCAAAACTGAAAGGAAAGCATTTCTCTTGACCTTACCACCAGATAAAGGTTTTTATCTCCCTTTTCCTGTAAACGAACTGATCTTTGCACCTGAGCACTCTGTCTCTGTTTGCAAAAGCCTTGTCTTCTATCTACACTCTCATTAACTTCTGCACCTGTCAAATCATCTTTAAACAGTTGTTCTGAGAAAGACTGTGAAGAGCCTCTCCCAGGAATGTGACCTTGTGAATCTTCCTGAGACAGGTCGGGCCTCTTGTCTGAGCTTAACTCAGGCCCAGGAAAACCCTCACCCCCATTGCTAACAGACCCAGACCCACCATCAGGAACATAATCCCCATTCCCATCATGAACATCAGATACAATCACAGACTGAACAGGTTGACATACAACAACTGCATCAGAAAGGGAGGGAAGTTTTAACCACTCCATCCCCAAGCTGTGATCTGGATGACCACACTGCATTTCACCTTAAGAAAATCTTCCCTTTCAAACAATTGTCATTCTAACCATATTATTCAAAACATTTCAAACACTGATGTGATTGCTAACAACACAGTTAAACTAATGTCATTTTCTGCATATAACTTCTGCAATCACAAAGATGGTCTGCACCAATATTTTATAGATCAACAAATAGATGATAGATAGATAGATAGATAGATAGATAGATAGATAGATAGATAGATAGATAGATAGATAGAGTGAGTGAGTGAGTGAGTGAGTGAGTGAGTTGCATTAGCACTGTTAGTGAGAAATCAAAATCAAGACTATTTTTTCCACATCTCCTACTGGGTTAAAATTAAACTCTCATGTCAGAACTATTTCTTTCTTCTTTATTAGATTGGCAAGATACCATGTTCACAATTGCCAATTACTGCTAAAGTGACAATACTTGTTCAAAAGTCATTTGAAAATGATTATCAGCTAATACATGCAATTTTAGCAATGCACTCCAATTTCTGTGTGTCACTGCAAATTTGACAGATGTGTGAATAGGTAACTGTCACTTTATCTGATCACTTTTTGGTAGTTTGCCAGATCTGAGAGGTAAATGATTGTGTTTATCCATTCATGAAAATAAATAGTTTGAAAACAGATCAGAACTCATCAGGCAAGTGGTTTTTTTAAATGTTGCTTTAAGTTTCTGGATATTGTTTGATTTCTAATGGTGTAGTGTAACCTCATATCACACCTTTTCACACATAATGTTGATTTCAGTAGAAATGGAGATTCTGTGCTTTTTGCTTCACAGCTGAATGTGGGCATGTCATCCGTCCAATGAAAGAAAGCATAATGGGAGAATTTGCAAATAGACATTAACACTTCTAGGCTAGATCCTGGCTGCTCTTTTGCTGCTTGCGAGATATGATATTAAAGTATGAATGAACTGCCACACATAACTGCCATAAATAGAGCTTTCATATCGGTTCCCATTCAAATTGAAGTACTTGTTACCAGTCACTAAGTATCCAGGGCTTATGAGGGAGGAATAGGATGTTGCACATACGTACATGAGTGACCACCCAAGTATTAACAGGATATTCACAAATTGAAATAAATTTACATCTGTGGTCACATAATTATGCATTAAAATGCAGATAGTTCAAGAACGGTGAACTCCATTACCACTCACTACAGCATATGGATGACATTCTATATTTTAGGACTGTCCACAACTAACTTCAGGGAAGAAGTATACTTAGAATTGAATTGCAAAAAGCAATTAACTGAAGAGCCTTCTATAATTATTTTCCATACAACAACTAGCAGTGCGTGTACTGTTGATCAAAATTACCTTTCTTTAGACTGGGTTTTTGGCATACATCTTTTGCTCACTATAATCACCCATGTAAATTGGTGCAAGTGTTACTGGGAAACATATGTTCGGAATGATTATTTACCCTCCATAAACAACATTTCTGAAGAAGAAGGGACTCAATTACAGCAGTCCAGATCATCCTTTCTAGTTATACATATATTAACATACATTTGTTACTTTTAAGTGATCAAAGTAAAGATGTGATGCACACAGAGACATACAGACACATTATGTAAGTGTTCATTGAGTGTTTTGGGAATCATCAATTGCTTGTTTTTGTTTCAATGTAGCAGTGATGTATTGTCCAAGTGTCTCATAGACAAAGTCCAGTAATGGATGTTCGTGCTTTATGTTTTTCTCCATATACATCTGTTTAGAATCAAAATACAACAAAATCTGTCACCAGATGTAAATAACAATTCATGATTTTTCCCAATATATGCAGCTCCTCCAAAGTTTGATAGGATATGGCCGAATATATCTTCCCTTGGGGTTTCTAACCCAAATCAAGGTAGGATCCTATAAAATTCCTACAGATCTATCATAACTTTAACTGCTTTCATACAATCTTCGCTGTTTCCTAAAAGGATGAAAAAAATTGCCTCTCTTGGGACTAAGAAAAAGGCATACTGTCCAAAACAACCTACTGAGAATTATTATCATAAAAATGAATCTTACATGAAAAGGCTTTATATAACATTCACCAAAGTTACAAGCACTTTTATAGCTTAAAATGTAATATAAGTCCCTAGAGAATACTGGAATTGTATAGGCATCATGGTTTGCATGATAAATAAATTTTGACGTTGTACTTTTGGAGTACAAGATATTCCCTGTGTCTCGATGAAATAATATCTGAGTGTCTCTCTCTTCTGCTTTGTTTTCTTAAGTGAAATGAATGTTATTTCCGTTGGTATTCAGAATTGAGGCTGCACTGAGACAGACAGTGGCGGTAGCAAACCGCCTTCTTTAGAAAATTCCTTTGATCAATTCAGCATTTTCAGAAAGCTGAGCTTTTGGGTTTTTTCTTCTACTCACCCTTTAGGGTTTTTTTTCTCTCCAAGAGGTCAAGTCACTTTATAAGTTGTTTCCCATATTCTCTCTGTGTGTGCGTGCATGTGCACACATATATCTGTGCATGCTTAAAGCTTTACATTTCCACAAACACTGACAGCAGTATTTCTCGCCGAAATCCCTAGTGCATGACTTCTACATCTAAATTCCAATGACATTCGCACATACAACATTTACTGACAGACTGTGGCATGGCGATTGTTCCAGGAAGAAATGGAGCAGGTGTGGAATTAAAAGAGAAAAGTGTATATGTGTGTATGTGTGATTTCTAAGCATGTGTTCTTACAAGGCTTTTACACAGCAACTTCATTCAATCAGGTGTAAACTGGTTCATTGCTTCATGTGGAACGATCCCATTTCCCTACTTTTAAAGCAAACAATATGGGCCTACAGCTTGCTATCGTTATACACAGGATGTTCCTTTTAAACTCTAATGAATACAGATGAAGGAGGAAATGAACATAAGAGGATCCAGGAAATAGCTCCTAAGCTAAACAAAATGTATTAGCAATTTGTTGGAGAGCTAGATTGGAAAGACTGCAGTATTAGCCCTTGATCATAATGATGAAATTGAGACTGTCCTAGATACATACATTACTGACAGCTAGAAGTGCCTTAATCATAGAAATCCATAATATATTTTTATTTAAAAATTGCAGGTTCCTTAGAGAGGTATACACAGTAATACAGGGATGTGTGGACACGATTCTTACAAGATGTATTATGGTTTTTCTTAAAGCCCCAAAATCAGCCAACCAGAGATTGATGTAAAAGAAATTTGATTTTAATAGCAAGAATGAATAGGGCTCATAGTTCCTCCAATGTATTCTGTTTGTCCCCAAACTTTCTTCATGTCAGAAGTATAACTTAGGGTAGAAAGGAGTTGTGTCATTGTTGTTAGAGATTACTAATTGGAGTCAGGATCCTTTGTTATATTTTACTGTGTTCTTATCTTAATTGTGTTTTTGTTTTAATTTGTTTGAATTTAATTGATTGTATTGCTTTTGTGTCTTGTGGACATTCTGTCCCAAATGTAAGCCGCCCCAAGTTCCCTTCGGGGAGATGGTGGCGGGGTATAAGAATAAAGTGTTTATTATTGCTTCTATACTCTAAATCTTGTGTATCTAATAATAGTTGAAAATCAACCTTCTGCCCATTCTTTCAATAACAGATCTTTTGCATTCAATGGACATTGGAGTTACACTCTAAAGTACAATATTTATAACACATTATATAAAATGTATACACACACACACACATATATAATTGTAAATGTTCGTTTGTTCAAAATCTTAAATCTTACAAAATACTTCACCAACTGCTTTAAAATTTTGATGCAATGTAGCATTTGAATAGGTGCATGTTTTTATGTTTTCACATAACTACTATTATATAGATGTCACACCTATGACAGGTTAAAATATGCTTTTTTGAAAAACAGTGCCATCTGTTGGATGTCAAAGCAACATACGCTATTTTACCATTCTATTTCATTGTTTCCAAATGCATTGCTAATTTGAATTTTCATAGATTTCAATTTAGTTTCATTTAGATTTAATTATTTCATGTGACATTGCATTGAAATTGAGATGAGTCGTTTACCATAGTGTTAATTCCGCGAGTATAGTTTATTGTTGTCCTTCTTTGCTTCGGTGCTGCTTGTTCTGCCCTGAAGGGGGCAGGATTGCACAGGGGCACACGGTGGGGGCAGGCCTTGGGCATGCCTTTGCCTTCCCCCCTCAACGCTGCTTCTCTGTCTCAGTCCAAAGTTGTGCCTGAGGGAGAGGTAGAATACATTGGACACTCAACCACTAAACCAGGCCTCTTTAGGCAGGCCCCTTTCACATAGCTGTATATGATTCACATTAAACTGGGTTACATGGTAGTCTGGATTGTGGCTGATCTGCCACAAAGCAGACATTGTGGCTGATCTGCCTTCTGGGTTAAATGGCTGTAAGGAAGGCCACAAGTCTACACTGACATATATTCCAGTACAAAGACCTTGCCTCTTGGGCTCTGTGTTTTATTTGGCTGCACAGGCATGTGCATCACACACCCTTTGTTGGGTTTCCCTAACTTCAAAACCCTCTCACTTTTAAAAAGCCTTCACTGTCAATCATTGCCTCACCCGAGAGGGGCGAGCCTTCCTTCCTCCTTCCCTCCTCCAATGCCACCCCTGCCCTCAGGAGTGCCGCTTTCTGTTTATTATTTACTTCATCGGGGCTCCTTTGGATGTCCTTTGTCTTTCTTTAGGCCCCTTTCACATAGCTGTATATGATTCACATTAAACTGGGTTACATGGTAGTCTGGATTCAGATAACCCAGTTCAAAGCAGACATTGTGGCTGATCTGCCTTCTGGGTTAAATGGCTATAAGGAAGGCCACAAGTCTACACTGACATATATTCCAGTACAAAGCAGACATTGTGGATTATCTGCCTTAATATTCTGGTTTGAAGATGTCCTCATTCCTTGCATTTCTATGATTCCAATGGATATGCCATTTCAATTTAAGAGATTGCAATTCCCAATTCGATTGGTCTTTGCAATCACCATCAACAAAGCTCAGAGCCAATCTTTAGAATTGTGTGGTTCACATCTAGACATGGATTCCTTCTCACATGAACAATTATATGTTGTGTGTTCTAGAGTTGGCAAATCAGACAATCTCTATATCTGCACAGACAATGGAGCAACAACAAATATTGTGACATTAAATATATTAGAAACTCTTTTCTTTCCTTTCTTTTCCATTTAACTAGATTGGCAACGCATGGCCAGGGACAGATAGATAGATAGATAGATAGATAGATAGATAGATAGATAGATAGATAGATAGATAGATAGATAGATAGATAGATAGAGAACTACTGTATATAAGCAACTGACAGTGATAAGACATGAAAAGATATCAATGAAGCATTTTAATGGATTTTCTTGGTTACAGAGGATTTGCAGAGGTCTAGTATGACTGTCTAAAGAATCCTAAGCGATACTGAATTAAACATTGAGCATGTGTATTACTATAATTACTGTAATGTTACAGAAAAGCTTTGTATATTTTTTTCTTCTTCCATGAATTGCCACAAATGCTTTGGCTACTTTGGCTGCTCCTGTATGCTCAGTGCATTTATTTGCATGATTAAACACAAAACAACAATGGAGGGAACCACAGTTTGTATTACCAAAATGTTCCTGCAAAGCTGAATAATGAACTTTCATTCTAGTTCTGACATTTGCTCTTCGGCTTTCTTCAGCTCTTTCAATTGTTTTGGTCATAAGCAAAATTATTTATCTTTATTTTAACAACCAATCCAGAAGGAGCTTTTTTATAAAAAAAAGAGATCTCAATATCTTGTATACATTGAGTTTGACACTTCCATGTCTAGTTGAAATACCTGAAACATAGAATTATAGCTATAATGGTCCTGGTTAATGATTGTAAATATTTATTCTCTGAAATCATTTGGCTACTGAACACTCAACATCTATAACTCCTGGAAAACCATATGAAAACCTAGACTAAGTTCTGAGTAATGGGATCAAATCCGTTAGTACAGCCATGTGAATTTCTGACAAAGATGCTATGTGGTGCACCCCAGTTTTACAACCCATAGATTGTATCATCTACATACCATTGAAGACAGCATACAGAAGAATTGCACTATGTTCATATTCAACTAATACAAAAAATAGTGAACACATGTCAACGTGCCCTCATATTGATGAAAAAGTTATATCAGTCATTTCGTATTACCCTTTAGTCACAATAATAGCTGGTAGTCCTTGATTGTGTTTCTTTATTAAGAAATACCAGAATATAGAAAAGACCAAAAACATAGTACTCTGAGAAGGAGCATAAAGTCCAGCTCCTCGAGGTTTTTTGTTTAAAGTGCAGAGAAGCCAAAGTGTCCTGTAAGCTTCCAGATGTGAAAGATGGAAATTATCAGATTAGTCCAGAAACAAAATGAATCCGCTGTATCTCGATTGTTTAAACATCTTAATACACAAGAGATTATAATGGTTGCAATCATTTAGACAAAGCAAAGCACACTTCCACATGTGGCAACATGCACTCTTTTGGCTAACAGCTCAATTTTGGGTATATTTTTCAAATGTATAAATTCTGGATGTACATATGGAATTCTGCTTGTGCATGTGGAATATACAAAATTATTTTTTGTATGGAAAATTATTCCTGAAGCAGAACACTAGCTTTCACAAACTGTAGCTCAGGGGAAGGTCTGTCTGGTACTTCACACACACACACACACAGAGAGAGAGAGAGAGAGAGAGAGAGAGAGATGGACAGAAAGGTGTTTTGTAGCCCAAATAATAGAGCACATGGCATAATATAATATTGTAGCTGTTGTTACTCTCGCTGTTATAATACTAATTGGTTCAGGTGTTCCGTCTTTGATTTTTCTTGCAGGTTTTATTTCATTTTCTGAAATTGTTTACAAGGTTTTTAATGGGTTTGAAATGTTTTAGACTCGTTCCATTTATTGTACTCCACCCCAGATGTTCAGATGTAGGACAGGATAGAAATATTGAATACAATAGCTGTTATTGTTTATTTAGTTATCCCAACATTTATTGCACAATAGGCCACCATTTACTACAGGATTGTCGTGTGTTTATTAAATCCTGTGTGTTATCATTATTAGTCTCTTTATGAGATCCTTGCCAAGAACATATTAAACTGTATGGTAGATGCTTATCAATTCTCCTCTTTAAAAATGCCATTAGTTCATTGCAGTATACTGGACATCCTGGCCATAAGTTAATATACCTGATCAACTATCAGTCCTTTCAAATATTCGCAGGAACAATTTTATTTATTTCCTAGACTAGCATTTCTCATAGCATATTAAAATGTGACCACACTCTACAATTTCTTAGCTATCAAATTGTCTCACAAACAGGAGTGTCCATGTGATATTTGAAAGCTTTGTAGAGTATAACTTATAATGTTTTAAACTATTTTCTGCCTAGATTAGAACTTCATTTATTTATTACAGTTCACTATATTACTTAGATTACTGTGGCATTTGAAACTGTATTTTGGGCAATAAAACCATGAAATGCAGTAGTCTGCATTTTCAATATTTTTTAAATCAATCAAAACCTAGTTTATTCCAACTGCATAACCTTTCAAATGCTTTTTTTCAGTTACTCCAAAATTAGCTTTGTCTACTGTTTCTTCTGTTCAAGTTGCAGTCCCCAAGAGAGGTATGAATCCTTGCATTCATACAGTGATTTCCTAGCATTTGTTCTGTGTTGTGTAAAAATTGCACTGTATGAATCTGGAATAACTGTGGTGTGCTTAGAGTCATCCCATTAGTGAGACATACATATTGAGCACAAATAAGAGATTTGAGTATTTCTTAGGACGTGAACCGTAAAAAAACAAACTGAGATTTCTAGGTTGCATCTATTTAAAAAAATGAAATAGCAGTAGCTGCTTAACTGAAGTGAAAACAAATGATATTGCAATGGCTTTCAACTGTTTCTGGGATGTAATATTGCTACTAATTTCACAAAATTGGCCAGGAACTGTCATCCACCAAACCAGTAGCAAGCATATCAAAAGAGGATTGATTAAGTGTATGAGCATCAAAAAAATCACTTCCTGAAGCATTGTTAGATCAGTGTATATACAATATACACTCACACTATGATTTTTTTCCAGTATGAATTATGGACATCCAGTTCTGAAACATGGGAACTTACTATATATGTTAGTCCAGAAAAATCTGCTTCTTACAGTAGTTGATATTGGAATGCATGAGTGAAGCTTTCAGGTTGGTTGGGCTGGTGGCTACTGTCGATTCTTTTTGGTACAGTTCAGTTGATGCATATAGCCTGCCCTCCTTCTTAAGAACATTGACTAAATTTATTGAAGCTCTTGGGAATTCCCTTAAAAATTGAGTGTTTTGCCTAAGATAGAACTGCCATTTGTTTCCCTTCAAATTTTGCTTTAAGGAAACCTTCAGGGCAACTATAGCTATGACTGTCTTGGTGAATTGCATTTACCCTTTGGATTTTGTATGCACTGAGATCATTTCAATATTTTCTCAACATAATGGAATTACATTGACATCTTGAAAGCGTAGCACAGTTGCTGTAACAGCTCCTAGACAGCCTGCCCTAGCTAAGCATCTGTCAGTCATTGACTGGAAGTCGTTTTGCTATATATTGTAATGCCTGAGCCTTTAATCTGACTTATAATTTATGTGAATTTCAAAATTGGCATAGGAGTGGCCAGGTCACACCACAAGTGCGTTCACAAAACATGGCCTTAGTTTTGCCCCAGGGGATAGTGTATGCTGCAAAAAAAGCAACAAATCACAACTATTGGAGAAAGTCTAATTTTATAATGAAAACTAAATTTGTTTCTGAGTTTATGTTACACAAAAGAGGGTGTTTGAGGCTTTGAGTTTCATATGAATGGTGGATGGCAACTTTAAAATATTTTTCTTATTGTGGAATAATCATAACTGCATATAGAATATAGAATGGTAATATTTTAGGGTGATGCTGGGCTACCTATGAATATTTCAAAAATCCCAGTCCACTACAAGGGAGTCTGCTACTTTTCCCAGAATAGCAACATTGGAAGAGATTTATTATGTCTCATTATATACAACCTCGTCATATTGACCAAAATCAGAGGCATACGCTGGACCCTCTCAATTTGCTCCACAAAATGCACTGGCTCCCATCCCATGACATAGAGCTACTTCTGGTGGGACTCTGTGGCACAAAAGGAGAGGAACTGGCATATGCCACCACAGTAGCAACATGGGAGGCTTACCGCATTGCGTTAACTACAATGTGGGGAAGCTGGACAGTGGACACTTAATTTGTGGGATAGGGTAAGTTGGGTGATATGGTGCATGGGGCAACACGTTCCTCATGCCCCTCACTGTGAACTGCAAGATCCATGGCAATTCCGGTGGCAAATATGATGAGGTCCTTATCCTACACCGGTTTTGAGACCTAGATCCCAAGGTTTCCCAATTCAGACAGCAGTTGTTGGGTGTCAAGACAGGGAAACAAATTAAATACAAAATAATTTTTAATTTATTTTTTGTTGTTTCATTTTGAATGCTTAGAGATAAGGAGAGACATTGGGGTTAGATTTTCTGCCTCCTGAGCCAAAGGTTATTGTCTAGTAAAGGTACCATCACCTGAATATAAGTGATGGTCTATCTGAACATTGAGGACTGATCAATGCAGAACTTTATAAAAACAGAGTTCAAGCAATTGGGAAGAAAAAGATCCAGCTCTGAAAAAGAGTAACGTGCATACTGAACACTATGAACAAAATGAATAGATAAGATATACAATAAAAAATAAAAGAAGTCTTGTACCCTTCCCTCAGCATCATTTTTTGACAGACATCATTGAAGGGGCACAGGCATCTACTCCTCATCCCAAGGGAAACTATCTTCCTCCAAATGTTGTAAGAGTCTCTCACTATGTTGTAGAATCTGCTACAAACAGACATGCGATAAATGATAAATTGCAAAATGAAAATAACTCTCTTCAATAGGAGGAGGGGAAAGAAGACAGTTACTGGGGGGAAAGCAAAAGCACCACAACCTAAAAATTATGTAACTAAGTGGAGCTATTTGGGGCCACGGTCATTTGTTTGGGACGAGGAGCCCTCTCTCAAACTTTGTTTTGTGAAATAATGGAATTTTATTTTCATGTCTACTGCAATATTCTGTGTTGTTACACTGAGAAAGTACATGGAAAAAAAGAAAAACAAATTGAATCCAGATAAGACATAAGTGTTATTAAGGGTCCCAACCTAGGGCTAGAGGTGTCTCAACCAGTTCTGGATGAGGTTACATCCCCTCTGAAAGACTATTTTCACAGCTTGGATCTGTCTCTCCAAATGTCAGCTAAGATAAATGTAATCTCAATGTTGGACTTCTTCAACATTGGGCTACCTCTGTTCCAAGTCTAAAAATTCCAGTTAGTTCAAAATATGCCAAATTGGATACAGGCACATCACACTACTATTAAAATCACTCCAAACACTGCCAATCAGTTTCTGAGCACGTCCAAGGTTTGGTTATGGCTTTTAAAGCTACATGGTTTGGGTCCAAGTTATTTGCACATCTTCCTCCTGTACAATCTCCCACATAGATCCTCTGTTGGACCTTTACTTCAAGCAGCCAGGACTAGAATGTCAACTGTCACTGAGAGGACTTTTTTATTTGCCACTCCTAGACTGTGGAATGACCTGCTAGAATACATTTGACATCTAAACATGCAATCTGGATTTTTTAAAAAATCTATTCTCTTGCAGGCCAACTAAGTCTATTTTACACTATGCATTTTAAATTGGCATTTTTAAAAGTATAGATCATTTTAATGTGTAACGGTTTCTGTTTTAATCTTATGATCATGTCTACGTGTTTTAAATAATTATATGTATTTTAGTTATATATTGTATTGTTATGTTGCATCCCACCTCAAGTCTTGGGGAGAAGCGGATAAGAAATTGCAAAATGAAAATAATGCCCTTCAGCAAGAGGATGGGAAAGAAGCCATTTTCTTGGGGCTTCCTTCTTATCTGAGTTTTTTGTTCTTATCCTCAATTTCCTGTCCGCCTCTACCCAAGACTGTTGTTGTTCTTGTTGTTCTTGTTATGTGGTAGCCCAGGTTTCTTCCAAAAGAAACAAACTGTCAGACATGATGGGAACCATTTGTGAACTATATTGAGTCCTTAAGCTGGAGGCCCCCATGACTCTACTTAGATCATGTCAAGAGTGGCCTTTGGTCAACTTACAACCATTCAGATGCTGCAGGAGTCCAGCTTCTGACCAGCAGTAGTGGGAGATGATGAGATTAGCAATAATAATAAAAATAATAATAAAACTTTATTTGTACCCCGCTACCATCTCCCCAAGGGACTCGTTGCGGCTTACATGAGGCCAAGCCCACAGCACATCAATAAACAAAAGCGATAACAAATAATCAATACAAAACAGTTAAAATAAAAACTCAAAAACAAAAATACACAACAAGCAATAAACAATAACAATAACATACAGCATTTAAAAACCTATGGCCGGGCCAAATGTAATAATTAATTTTAAAATTAAAATGCTGGGCATAAACAAGGTAAGCTAAACTAGGAATACAACGGGCCAAGCCACCTTCTGCCATTTACAATATTTTAAATGGTAGGAGGTTAACATTAGGCAAACAAGTCCACAGACTAGTTACAGGAGCATAGCCATGCCCGTCACCACAGATAACAGGGAAACTTGTTGTCCCCATAGACCTGCCACTCCTCTCATGTCTACTGAGAGAAGTTGGAGAAACTACATTAATATTGAAATATCAGAGAGCTGATATTTCATTTGATACACAGCAAGGATTAATGTAACACATTTACCCTAAGTTAAAGCTGGTATGGAAATGAACCACATAGCACTAATGCCCCCAAAGAATGGTGCAGATAGAGCGTGGCTTGGATATTGGCAGAAAGGTAGCACTTCTGCACACAAAACAGCCTATCTGCTATAGTAGCTGTGCAGCTTCAGTTCCCATCCATCTAGATATGTGATCAGAAGACAAATCTTTTCTTATCAACACCAGCTATTAATTCAGTGCCAGCATTCCATTCCTCTACCACAAGAAAATGGATAGTTTCCACTGACTCCAGGACCATGTAATTAGTATCTTCATGGGCACTTGACCTTCTTCACCACAAAGGTTCCAGGGGAATGAGAGTTCCATTTCCTTTAATAGCTCACTAGAAATTCTGCAACTATCTATTTTTCCACTGCAATATTGTAGTGATTATGAAAACCTAGTGAAGCTGTTTCTTCCTTTACAGCCACTATTCTACTGCTTAAGTGCTTATAGTAAATGCCAAAGACACAACTTGTGTGCACTGTGATGCTGTTTGCTTTAATTTACTGAACAGGAATATTTCAGCAGACACTCCTCTTACCAGATATTTTATGAGTGTCAGCCGATGGCTTTGAAGCCCAAGTGTGTGATTCCTCGGTATCTTGGCCTTCAATTATTGAGTGCATTTTGCATCTTGAAATGGACTAGAAATCATTTCTGTTTACAAAATACTATTGTAATGTGAATCATATAATTAAATTCCTTTTAATAGTTTTGCTGCTCCTTCTTAACTATTTGTAAAGGCTGCTTGGTATATAACATAGAATCCTTATCCAGCTAGTAAGTTACCTGGT